CTGTGTCTAAGATTTCATTCTGGTCCCTTAAGATTGACCCTATTTAAAATTATTGCCCCTTGTGCGAAAAACATTTTTATTGCTATTGCTCCAAAACCGTAAACCGCAAAGACACGAAACCTTCTCTAATGTCTTATGGGACTTTAGGCAAAACTTTTATGTTCAAGTGCAAAAGGATCTGGTGACTCCTTGAATGAGTTACTGCCCTTAAATGCTTTTGTGCTTACTATTAAACCTTATAACTTTAAAACTATAAGTCATAGAGACATGGGGTTAATTACAATGTGACCCTTGACCTTTGACCTTGAATATGACTTGAAGGTCAAAGGTTAAGGTCACCTAAAAAAAAATTCATTTTTCATTTTTTTTTCTTCTTTTAAGCCATTCCTGGTTTCTTTTTTATGAAATTTAATTTTAAATAGATAAATATTAAATGAAATTGAAATTCAAAAGGTGGAAAGACCTCTTATTGTTCTGTGAACAATAAGTCTCCTAGTTATTTTTTATTATTTTTCCGCCGTGTGATTTTTTGTTTCAAGATTTATCGAAAAGACTTTTTATTCATAAGAATGTACTCCGTAAAAGATTTTTGCAGTTGACCCTGCGAATGTGAACAATGACCCCTTTCGGAGTTATTGCCCCTTTCGCAAGAAATGCTTGTTATCGCTACTCCTCTGAAACCGTAAACCGTAGAGGTATGAAACCTTCACCATTGTCTTCGACTAATTAAGGGGACTTTTCAATCTATTCATTGTGAAAGTATTTGGTGACCCCTTCAATGAGTTATTGCCCCTGAAACTTTTTGAATTTTACAAATAATTAAAAATTTTCAAAACGACAAGTCGTAGAGACATGGGACCAACTGCATAAGATTTATTGACCTTTGACCTTCAAATTCATGTAAAGGTCAAAGGTCAAGGTCATTCCAAAACTGAGAAATTAAGCTCTTTTTATATATCCTTTGTCTTTGAACATATACTTAATGTCTATGCATCATTGATATGTACTCTTAAAACTATTTCAAAGATTTCATTCTTGTCCCCTAACATTAAACCTTTTAAAAGTTATTGCCCCTTGTGTGAAAAACCTTGTTATCGCTACTCCTCTGAAACCGTAACCGTAGAGATGAAACTTTCACTAATGTCTTAAGGACTTTAGGCTTAACTTCATTGTGCAAAAATTCTGATGACCCCTTATATGAGTTATTGCCCTTTAACTTCTTTGTACTTTATTAAAATTATAATTTTCGAAAACTATAAGTCATAGAGAGCATGGGACCAAGTGCATAAGATTCCTTGACCTTTGACCTTAAAATTTTTTCAAGGTCAAAGGTCAAGGTCATTCCTTTTTTTTTTAATTTTATTTTTTCTATGCTTTATCTCTTTTGTCTTTTAACATATACTTAATGTCTATGCATCATTAATATGTACTCTTAAAACTGTTGCAAAGATTTCATTCTTGTCCCCAAACAATAATCCCTTTAAAAGTTATCGCTCCTTTTGGAAAAACCTTGTTATCACTACTCCTCCGAAACCATAGTCCGTAGAGACACCAGACCTGCACTAATGTCTTAAGGGTCTTTAGGCCTAAGTAAGCTGTATAAGTGCGAAAAGATCTGATGACCCTGTATATGAGTTATTGCCCTTTAACTTTTTTTGTAAATACTTTTAAGCCTTATAACTTGAAAAGTATTAGTCGTAGAAACATGGGGTCAATTGCATTGTGACCCTTGACCTCTGACCTTGAACATTTTATCAAGGTCAAGGTCATCCCATTTATTTATTTAATTTTTTATATGCTGTAAGATGATTTTGGTTTCTTTTTCATGGAATTTAATTTCAAGTAGTCAGATATAAAACAATTTAAAATTTAAGAAGGTGGAAAGACCTCTTATTGTTCTTTGAACAATAAGTTGTTATCGCTAGGTCTTTCCACCTTTCTGTGGAAAGACCTTTGATTTCCTTCTGTTTCTTCTTTTTTATTATTTTTCCGCCGTGTGATTTTTTGTTTCAAGATTTATCGAAAAGATTTTTAGTCCATAAGAATGTACTCCGTAAAAGATTATTGCAGTTCACCCTGCGTAAATGAACCCTGACCCCTTTCAAAGTTATTGCCCCTTTCACAAGAAATACTTGTTATCGCTACTCCTCTGAAACCGTAAACCGTAGAGGTATGAAACCTTCACTAGTGTCTTTGACTAATTTAGGAGACTCTTCAATATATTCATTGCGAAAGTATTCGGTGACCCCTTCAATGAGTTATTGCCCCTGAAACTATTTGAATATCACAAATAATTAAAAATTTTTAAAATGAGAAGTCGTAAAGACATGGGACCAACTGCATAAGATTCATTGACCTTTGACCTTAAAATTTTTGTAAAGGTCAAAGGTCAAGGTCATTCCAAAACTGAGAAATTAAGCTCTTTATATATCTCTTTTGTCTTTTAACATATACTTAATGTCTATGCATCATTAACATTTACTTTTAAAGCTGTTTCAAAGATTTTACTCTTGTCCCCTAACATTAACCCCTTTAAAATTTATTGCCCCTTGTGCAAAAAATCTTGTTATCGCTACTCCTCTGAAACCGTAGACCGTAGAGACACCAAACCTTCACTAATGTGTTAAGGGTCTTTGGGCCTTACTTCACTGTATAAGTGTAAAAGGATCTCATGACCTCTTATATGAGTTATTGCCCTTTAACTTCTTTGTACTTACTATTAAACCTAATATCTTGAAAACTATAAGTTGTAGAAGCATGGGGTTAATTGCATTGTGACCCTTGACCTTTGACATTGAACATTTTATCGAGGTCAAAGGTCAAGGTCATTCCATTTTTTTTTTTATTTTTTCTTGCTTGAGAAATTTTGGAAAGACCTTTAATTTTTTCTGAGAACATATAAAACAAATTTGAAATTCAAAGAAGGTCTTTCCATTGTTCTGTGAAAACTATTAATTGTTCTGTTTATTATTATTTTTTATTATTTTTCCGCCGTGTTTTTTTGTTTGAAGATTTATCGAAAAGATTTATAGTCCATAAGAATGTACTCCGTAACAGATTATTGCAGTTCACCCTGCGTAAATGCATCTTGACCCCTTTCGAAGTTATTGCCCTTTACGCAAGAAATGCTTGTTATCGCTACTCCTCCGAAACCGTAAACCGTAGAGGTATGAAACCTTCACCAATGTCTTCGACTAATTAAGGGGACTCTTCAATCTATTCATTGCGAAAGCATTTGGTGACCCCTTCAATGAGTTATTGCCCCTGAAACTTTTTGAATTTTACAAATAATTAAAAATTTTCAAAACAAGAAGTCGTAGAGACATGGGACCAACTGCATAAGATTCATTGACCTTTGACCTTAAAATTCATGCAAAGGTCAAAGGTCAAGGTCATTCCAAAAATGAGAAAATTAGCTCTTTTTGTATCTCTTTTGTCTTTCAACATATACTTAATGTCTATGCATCATTAATATGTACTTTTAAAACTGTTTCAAATATTTCATTCTTGTCCCCTAACGTTAACCCTTTTAAAAGTTATTACCCCTTGTGAGAAAAACCTTGTTATCGCTACTCCTCCGAAACTGTAGACCCTACAGACACCAAACCTTCACTAATGGCTTAAGGGTCTTTAGGCCTAACTTCACTGTATAAGAGCAAAAGAATCAGATGACCCCTTATATGAGTTATTGCCCTTTAACTTCTTTATACTTACTATTAAACCTTATAACTTTAAAAGTATTAGTAGTAGAGACATGGGATCAATTGCAATGTGACCCTTGACCTTTGACCTTGAAGATCTGATCAAGGTCAAAGGACAAGTTCATTTCAAAATTTTTTTTTTTTTACATTTTCATTTTTTTTTTCAAACCATTTCCCTTAAAATTAAATTTAGAGAGTAAAATTTAAAACTATAAGAAATTTAAAAAGGTGGAAAGACCTCTTATTGTTCTGTGAACAATAAGTCTCCTAGTTTTTTATTATTTTTCCGCCGTGTGATTTTGAGTTTCAATATTTATCGTAAAGATTTTCAATTCATAAGAATGTACTCCGTAAAAGATTTTCGCAGTTGACCCTGCGTATATGAACTTTGATCCTTTTCGGAGTTATTACCCCTTTCGCAAGAAAGCTTGTTATCGCTACTCCTCCGAAACCATAAACCGTAGAGAAATGAAACCTTCACTAATGTCTTCGACTAATTTAGTAGTCACTTCAATGATTCATTGCGAAAGTATTCATTGACCCCTTCAGTGAGTTATTGCCCCTGAAACTTTTTGAATTTTACAAATAATTAAAAATTTTCAAAACAAGAAGTCGTAGAGACATGGGACCAACTGCATAAGATTCATTGACCTTTGACCTTAAAATTCATGTAAAGGTCAAAGGTCAAGGTCATTCCAAAAATGAGAAAATTAGCTCTTTTTGTATCTCTTTTGTCTTTCAACATATACTTAATGTCTATGCATCAGTGATATGTACTCTTAAAACTGTTTCAAAGATTTCATTCTTGTCCCCTAAGATTAAACCTTTTAAAAGTTATTGCCCCTTGTGCGAAAAACCTTGTTATCGCTACTCCTCCGAAACTGTAGACCCTACAGACACCAAACCTTCACTAATGTCTTAAGGGTCTTTAGACCTAACTTCATTGTATAAGTGCAAAAGAATCTGATGACCCCTTAAATGAGTTATTGCCCTTTAACTTCTTTGTACTTACTATTAAACCTTATAACTTGAAAACTATAAGTGGTAGAAGCATGGGGTCAATTGCATTGTGACCCTTGACCTTTGACCTTGAATATTTTTTCAAGGTCAAAGGTCAAGGTCATTCTTTTTTTTTTTTTTAAATTTTCATTTTTTCTATGCTTTAAGAGAGTTTTGGTTTCTTTTTCATGGAATTTAATTTTTTGGAGTCAGATATAAAACAGAGTTCAAAGAAGGTGGAAAGACCTCTTATTGTTCTGTGAACAATAAGTCTCCTAGTTTGATATTTTTTTCTTTTAGATCCTCCTGTAGTACTAGGAGGGCCAACATTTTATGCAAATGAGAGTCAGGATATTACATTATTTTGGAACATTTCCAGTAACCCAGCTTCAGATGTATCCTGGTTCAAAGGATCTGAACAAGTTCATAAACAAGAGTCAGTGACAACTGCCAAATATACTATAAATAAGACGAGATGTACAGATACTGGGAATTACACACTTAAGGCCAGCAATAAAATCAACAATGACTCTGCACAAGTGCAATTACTTGTTTATTGTAAGTAGAAACACAGGTTATTTTTAGCTTTACTGGTCAGAGACCATGCAGAAAACCTTGTGCGATGGGAATGCGTCCGGCGTCTGTTTAGCTATTTGTATGTCTGTCTGTCTGTCCTCCTACAGTTTTGGTCTGAATTCAATAAAACTTGGCACACAAGTAGAGTACACTAAAACAGATAATTTTCTTCATCGGTTTTTGATTTCGATGAATAGTGTTGCCGTGGTTACTAAAAATAGGTATGTTTTTGAAAATTTTTCAAAATGCTATTCCTCTTACAGATTTGATCTGATTTCAATATAACTTGGCACACTAGTAGACTACTCTTAGATACTGAATTCTATTTATCAGTATTTGATTTCGTCGAACGGTTTTGCCGAGGTTACAAAAAATAGATATTTCTGTGAATAACTTTCAAAATGCTACTCCTCCTACAGTTTTCGTTTGATCTCAATATAATTTAGCACACAAGTAGACTACACTAGGATAGATAAATCTGTATATCACATTTTATTTTGATGAACAGTGTTGCTGTGGTTAGTAAAAACAGAAAATTCTGTAAAATACAATGAAAATGATACTCCAAACACAGTTTTGGTATTATTATTTAATGTGGAATGCAAGTAGACTATACTAAGATACTTAATTGTCTTTATCTTTTCTTAACTTTGTTATTTTGATGAATGGCGTTGCCATGGTAGGTGAAATTGAAAATACCCAAAATTTTATTAAAAGCTACGCCTACAGTTGTAGTCTTATTGCAATATCTTGCCACAAAATGAGACTTAATCAAATATCATTATTCTATTTATTGCTGCTGTAAAATTTCAAGTCCCAAGCTACTTTTCCTTTTTTTGTTATAAGTACAGCTATTTTTCAGTCTCGACAGAGACTTCTGGTTTTTAATTTGATGATATAGACTTCATTATCATCAAGAACAATCAACTCATTCAATCAATAGTACAAAATATGAAAGATACAAATAATTTTTTGTTCCTCTGCACATATATATATTTTCAATAAAAATTTGAGGAAGCTGAAAATGTTCAACTATTAACGCACTACGATGCATACATTACCTGAGTCTTGCAAAATTGTCCTCTTTAAATTTTGAACATTTTCTTCTCCAGACACATGTACCATTATATCAACCGAACAAGATCATCTCTTGTTTCAACGGTATTAAAGTTTGTTCGAATTCAGAGTCTTGCACACAATCTCTAAACAAGAATTATGAAAAAGAGTGGAGAAAAAATAATTTAAAACGAAGAATCCTTGGTAAAAAAAATGAAACTATGGTGAATTTTCAGTGTGAGTGGCTCAAGAGACCTAATGCTCCTGTCTCTATCCTTCATTGTGCATTGTCAGTCGTTACGTTTGTCGTGTGGTACGTATACAGTTTGTACATTTTCAGCATGTACAGGTAAAGGGGAACAAACCTTTTGAAATTTATTGGCCCTGTCCTCTGGTGCCTCAAGGGTAGGTCTAAAACAATCAAAATAAATGCAATTATGAAAATTCTTCTTTACTTCTGGACATCAACCAGTCAAACTATTAGTATGATTGTAACAACAATTGAGCTTTGTAACTTAATTGTGTAATTCGTGGTGTGGATCAAAAAATAGTTTCTGCTCCTAAATATTCAAGAAACAAACAAACAGTATAGTTTTGATGAGCAAAAGTGTCTCTTACAAATTGCGAATTAATAGCCCCTGAGTCAGGGGTTCTAATAATACTTTCGGCAGGGTTTATTATATAAGGACAATTTTTCAAAAATAATTTCTTTTCTCTTGGGTATTGAGTCAATAAATTAAGTGCATAATTTTGATATGCAAAGGTGCCTATTTCAAAATTGTGAATTTCATGGATCCAGGGGTTCTGTTTTTAGAGCTGAACTTTTATCAGTATATACAGCATGATGTTTTTGCATAAATAAAGGTAACATTTTTCTTGCAAAAATAAAAAATAAAATTAGATGATGTCATTGTGTTACATTCATAAAATTTACGTAATCCTCTGAAGTGCTGCTGATGTCAAACGGGGTCTCCTGCATTTTTTTTGCACACATTTGGTGTTCCATGGTTATAGTTTATGTTTTATAGGTTAGATATGGCGCTGTGTCTAAAATTAAATCCTCTTGCAATTTTAGACTGCGATTTCTTCCAAGTCGCCCATTTCCCTTTCTGTGCTATGCAACATTCAGATGAGCATTTTTAGACAGCGTAAATTTTCAGATAAAATCAGAAGCAAAATAAACCCCCCTTTGATAGCCCCTTTCTCGCCTGAAGGAATAACATCAGAAACCAACAAATGAAAATTGAGATGTAAATCTTTTTTGGCATTTTTCAAAATCAGGTCTTTTTGTCTGTAGAATCGTACAATAGCTATAATGTTAAGAATTTGCATTTAAAAATATCGCATTTTAATCGGATGCATCGTATCAATCCATAAAAAAAGGCATGTCAAAACAATCCTAAATTTTTCAGCTATTATTCTTACAATGCGTTTCTTTTTATGAGTATATTTATTCATGTTTATTAATCAGATGGATATCAATTTATGATATTACGCTTCACAAAAGGTAAACCTTCCCAAAAATTTATTTAATAATAGCTCCAAAACTTTGTGGTTTATAAAGTTAAAAACTTTTACAGTTTATAAATATATCATTAAGTTACAGAAAAAAGTTATCTCTTGATAACAAATACTTTGAACATGAGGCCCATGGGCCACATCGCTTATCTGAGCACTGTGGCTAGGAAAATAATCAATTCACTAATGCATAAGTGGTCCCGATCCTAAAAGGGTTGGCGGTATGATTTGAACAAACCTGTGTCTATGCAAACTTTAATCGACACTAATAAGGATGCTTACATATTTTTTTTACTGTGTTTTTTTCCCTATAAGTTTGAATTTTAATTGTGGTCCCACCCAACCCCGAGGGTCATGATTTTCATAAATCTGTATCTAAACTACATGAGTATGTGTTCATGTAAACAAGACCAATCATGATTTTGCTGTTCTCAAGAAGATTTTCCTATATATATTCCTTTGAAAAACTTGGATCCTCCATTGCGGCCCCGCCCTACCCCCGGGGGTCATGATTTGAACAAACTGGTATCTACACTACCTGAGGATGCATCCATATATATATAACCAATCATGTCTTTGCTGTTCTCAACAAGAAAATTTTTAAAGATTTTTCCTATATATTCCTATGTTAAACTTGGATCGTCCATTGTGGCCCCACCCTACCCCCGGGGTTCATAATTTGAACAAACTTGAATCTACACTACTTGAGTATACTTCCATATAAATATGACAAATAATGACTTTGCTGTTCTCAAAGAAGATTTTTTAAAGATTTTTCTTAAATATTCCTATGTTAAACTTGGATCGTCCATCGTGGCCCCGCCCTACCGTATCATAATGTGAACAAACTTGAATCTATACTACCTTGGGATGATTCAGATAAGCTTCATCTTTCCCGGTCCAGTGGTTATTGAGGAGAAAATTTTTGAAAATTTACATCTATTTTTCAGTAATTTTTAATTATATCCCCTTGGAATAGGGCGTGACTCTTCATTTGAACAAATTTGAATTCCCTTCCCCCAAGGATACTTTGTGGCAAGTTTGTTGAAATTGGTTCAGTGGTTCTTGAGAAGAAGTCAAAAAATCTAAAAAGGATATTTATCGAGAAAAATTCTTTTAAAAATGCATATTCTTTATGAAAAACACTAAGTATAAAAGAAAAAGAAAATGCAGTTTCCAAATTTCATTTAACACAAGCGCTTTCTGGATTTCATAATCCGTCTTCTGGTGTACATAAATTGAACTGATTGTTTTGCTTGGTAACGTTAACTATGACGTCATGACGCTAACGCTAAACATAAAGATTTTTTTGCATTCAAATGGAACTTGCAGAAAACCTTAAGGCTCATAAACCCTCTGCTCACTTATATAAAATGTTGCTTTAACCTTAATGATTTTCCAAAAAATAAAAAATCATAAAGGAATATATGTAATAAACATTTATGTTATTAGAAGTTATCTCTCTTATCAGAGTATCGATGTACCTTAAATTAAGATATAGCCGGTTCTTTGAGTGAATAGAGTTAACCCTAACAAAAAAATACTATAGTAAACTATAGTTAACTATAGTTTACTATAGTAAATCAAAGTTCCAAAGTTTTCACCATAGTAAATCAAAGTTCCAAAGTTTTCACCATAGTAAATCAAAGTTCCAAAGTTTTTACTACAGTAAATCAAAGTTCCAAAGTTTTCGCCATAGTAAATCAAAGTTCCAAAGTTTTTACTTTAGTAAATTAAAGTTCCAAAGTTTTCACCATAGTAAATCAAAGTTCCAAAGTTTTCACCATAGTAAATCAGGTTCCAAAGTTTTCGCCATAGTTAATCAAAGTTCCAAAGTTTTTACTATAGCAAATCAAAGTTCCAAAGTTTTCAGCATAGTAAATCAAAGTTCCAAAGTTTTCACCATAGTAAATCAAAGTTCTAAAGTTTCGCGATAGTAAACAAAGTTCCAAAGTTTATACCATAGTTTTTCAAAGTTCCAAATTTTTTACTAGAGCTAAACAAAGTTCCAAAGTTTTTACTATAGTTAATTAAAGTTCCAATGTTTTTTTTTGTAATTACTTTAACAACTTAAATATTTTAAATATTAATAATTATTTATAATTAAATATATTTAAATAAATACCGCTTATTTATCGGTGAAAGAGACTATTTTTACATTAAAACAATTTCTTGTACTTTGTTTTGTTTGGGGGACGATTTGGGTTTTTTGAAAAAAAAAATTCTGAAGCTTTAATGAATCTAAAACTTGAAATTTATATAATGTACAGAATATAAAGCAAAACCATGATCTTAAGGGTTTATAGTGCTTAATCAAAAGTTGCAAAGTTTTCTCTTTTAGTAAATCAAAGTTCCAAAGTTTTCGCCATAGTAAATCGAAGTTCCAAAGTTTTCACCATAGTTAATCA